AATGACGCGCAAAAATTCTGTAAAAAATCTGATAGATAGTATTTATCCAGGCGCGTGTTGGAGATTTTTTTGCGATTTTTTTAGTTGAGTATTTTAGTTGTGAACTATTTAATTTAGATTTTTTGTTGCTCTTACATGTAAAAGAACCTTTTTGTTGTTTATCAACCCTTGGTTCTTCAAACTGTAGGATACCCTCACAATTGCATCAGAATAAGAAGAAACGCTCGTAGCAATGTCGATAAATGCTTCTGAATAAACGTATTACGTTTACATAGTTACAAATGCGTCGGTTTTCAACTACCTACTATACATTTCAGGTAATCGTGATAAATTTACTTTTTTATCGTAACTGAATATCAAACATTGAAATATTAAACTTATTCTAATTTACTTACGAACCCGAACTTGTTCCTCATACACGTGATTATTATAATGTTAGCAATGTCGAAATGTATAGCAGCAGAAAAATGAGAACAAATTCCTCCCGTTTTTTATAGCCCTATTCTTTATAACGTGATTTCTTGCTTATCCGTTAATGTACAAGTGGAAATAAACATACATGTCAGAAGAGAAAGGCAGAGAAAATAAAAGGAGAAATTATAGATTGTGACATGTCGGGGAAAACTAGAACGAACGCAATCAAAACGAATTATCCTTAAGGATTTGCGATACAGTCTGCTGAATGTTACTTGTATAAGAAACGTTCCCGTTGGAGGATTGTTTCCTTCAATCTAAGGGGACCAAACAAGTTAAATTGAATAACAGATAGCAATAGACGTGCTGCTTTTTATCCGGAACAATTTGATATACTTTCATTTAATAAAAGAAGAAAAAATTAATTACTTTAAAAATAAATGCAAACCTAAAAAACCAATTTGCAGAGATGTATTTTTCACGAAACACTGTAAACATTTCTTCTCTTTAGTGTAGCAGATAAACCATAACGCCCTGTACAGCGTTTAAATACATATTTCCTGAGGCATGTAAAAATGAGGAAACACAAGAACTTCGTGATAACTCGAATTTAATGAATTCTACGGGTACGTGATTTCGTCAGTTATTAACGTTTCTTCGAGCCTAACAAACCTAGACTGGTCTTAATCAAAAGGCAAACTGTGTGACTTGCTTCCGTCTTCCGTTTTCGCACCCCCGAAGCACCAGATGAGTTGCGGTGAAATCTCGTAACGTTTGTGTCAAAATTTGCATAATTCGTTGTGATAATTAAACGATCTGCATAGTGCGTTCTGCGGTATGTCAGTTTCTCTTTTAAGGGCAAATGGTCCCTGGCACGATCCTGAATTTCCTTTTGTGTGTCCACAATTTCTCCCTGCATTTCGCTATTGAATTAGAGCGATATAACGAGTAATATGAGCGGAACAGCTTCGCGTCTGGCTCTGGTTCACCCTGTTAGGTCGACGCAATGTGTAATTTCGCACACGCGACAGACGCGTAACACAAAACAGGAATCTTTCGCGTCGATATTGGGAAATTCGCGTTTGTCTTTTTCTAGTTTTCCCTCGTGCTGATGGACGTCGAAACAATTATCGAATACATCGAACGGTATAGAGTATTCCTATATAGATTTCCGACGTTTTTTCGAATTTCAGCATGTACATTCCTTTCTTTGTAATCACAGTGGTGTAAATGAAGACTAAAGTAGAGGGAAAAGCTCGTTTCTTTTACTGTCGTAGGCATGAATCAAGAATTTCGTGTACTCTTGAGTGTAAAGGATCTATAAAACTAATCAAATATTCGCAGCGGTATGCTATACGTAAGAATTATGAAAAAGTTTTTTAAATTGTTGTACCCATAAGAAAAGAGGATAAACTTAGTGAGATTAGTGTGAACTACAATATAAATCACTGTTATGAATATGAACTTACTATTGTATGTAAGTTAATTGGATAAATGTACAAAGTATTCTATACATTAAGAATATTCTGCAGTGAAACTACATTTCATTGATTGAATTTACATTGTAAATTAAATTATTGTCGGTTAATTCGGTCTGGTCATCAAGGTATGGAAAGTTTAATGTAGACCGCTAAAATTTCAATGTGATGTTGAAACTTTGTAATTTACATTTGTCTATTTAAATATTTACCTCACATTACATTTCATATCATTTTGATAAGTGTAGTTTAAAATATTTATCCGTTAGTTACAAATATGAAATATGTTACTTCGCGTACTTACATCAATTTCATCCACGGAATGTTAACGAACTTACTTCTGACCCTGATAAGAGATTCATGTATTGTTTTTATGAATTGTAACTAAAGTAATTCTTTATGTTTATTTTTATTGTTAAAAATGTCTTTACATAGACAGGCTCACATACTATTATTACTATAATAATTCACATAACGCATTTCTTCGCGATAAATAAAATATCATTGCAACATCTAGACCTTGTCCCTTAAATTACACTTAATTTAGTTGGTATATACTTCTTTTAAACTTTCTTATGACCGTCACAGTGCTGTCAATAAATAAAGGCTTTTATGTTGAATACGTCGACGACGTCAGCGAGTGATGGCTACACAATAACAACGAGGGGGGTGGTAGAGGAATGTCATATGGTCAAGTTCGGGAAGCGGCTTTGTGAACTTTCGCCAATCAGCAGGTGGAATCCCAGATGGAACTCACTGACAATTCAATTACAACTGGGAATTCGTGGTCCGACCCTAAGTTGAGAAAGTTTGGTGGTATCACGGAGACGAAGGGCGGAGATTCATGGAAGAAGAAGAAGGTAACCCACACTTCTCCAAGTGTTATGCAAATTTTTGTTTAACCAGTCATTAGATTGCAAGTACAGGATATTTACAAGCACGCCAGCTATTACTACGACTGTCTATATTACAAGCTTTAACTACTCGAGACGAATGACCATCTATGCATCTATAGTGCGTTTCATCGCTTATATTATTCGCAACGCAATTGGCTATGTTAATTCTGTGCGCATTGTTTTCTATTTGTTTTCTTGTTAGTCTTATTAGTAGGTATCGGTTCATGAGTATTTACACATACCTACAGCGTGATCAGGTCGGGTAATACAGCCAGTGAGATGGTTATTACACGACCGTCCAAACAAATCTGGACATTGATATGACGATGCATTTCTTTGAAATATTCTACAAATATTTATAAATATTTTTTTATATGAAATGTCTTTATTGAGTTTTATTAAGTGATATTTAAAACAAATACTACCGATAAAGATACGATGACCAAAGTTGAATGAAAGGATATACCTAGAATATATTCAAAAGCAATAAGTTTCAGCTGTCTTTTCCTAATTTCTGTTGTACTACCATGCGTTTAAACGAATATCAGTTATGTAAAACAAAAAAGCATGTCTGTAACACGATGCAGCCATTTGGTTAGGGTTAGTTAAGTTTAACAGTGCAAAAGATTGTGAACTTGAGTTCTAAAGAAGAATTAACGGTAGTAGACGCTGATACTATTGTAAAATTAGCCAAAGAAACCTATTCAATTCGATAACTGCAGCAGAAATAATAGTTTTGTATATTGAAAAATAATAACATTCTAATATTGACATTGTACTGTCTCCGGACACTCATGGACGATAGTGTACATGGCTACTACATATAAAAATAAATTGACAATGTACAATCAAATGTTTTCGTATAATGCTTTGTTTTCCAGATAATCGACTTTGAGTACCATTCTGACACGCGAGCATTTAGATATCATTTTGCACGTCTGTCTGTTTATTATTGATTACTTCTACCGATAGTAATGGTAGAAAACAGTGACAATGATTTGATATTATTAGTTTTCTATAATAATTTAATATGAACTAATAATGAGAAGATGGTAAAACCGGTGGAAAACGGATAATAACGTACCGCGCCCAATCTGTATTAATTTTGAGCAGAAATAGTATACATATAGTGGTCAAATACATTAACCTATCTATCTCTCTATATTTAGAATACTACAAAGGCGAGTTGCCGAGGCTCGAGCTTCGGGCAAAAAACGTATTCACGAGAGTCAGAAGCGTTTCGCGTGGTCCACGATTATAATCCCTGCGCGGACCCGAGTTCGGGACAATAATCGCGAGAGCCCTGTATTCGACTTATTTTTGCAAGTAGAATAATCTCTGTCCTAGTTGTATTACTTGACCTGATTTAGCTGTATTTTTGAAATATGTTGTTCGGCTTGGATCTTATTTTTTTCGTCGGGTATAACAGAATTCAAACTTGGTATACTAAGGATGTACATTTATGTGTGTTACAATGGGATATGATCTGCCTTGTATTACATCGAAATTAATATGATTATTATGATGACAGATGTGCCTGCGATATGAAAAATATATTTCTTACAAACATTATACAGGGTGTAAGAAAAGTGTAGTAGGTCTCTGAAATGGGTGACTTGCGGGGTGATTTGAAACAAGGTTTTCCTTAGCGAAAATGTTATCCGAGACTTTGTTAACGAGATATTAACGAAAAACCCCGGCCAATCGGAGCATGGGTCTACCGGCCGAGTTCCTGCGGCAGCGCTGGCTACCATTCGCAACGCGTAATCGATGCTACTGCTGGAGCTTGGCCAACAGACTCGCGCTCTGATTGGTCGGGGTTTCTTGTTAATATCTCGTTAACGGAGCCTCGGATAACATTTTTGCTAAGGAAAAACTTGTTCCAAATCTCCTCACGAGTCACCCATTTCAGAGACTTACCACACTTTTGTTACACCCTGTATACTAGCTTGAGACATTATGAATGATACACCAAAATCACTAAAATGTAGAAATTTTCAGAATAATATTACGAATTAACAAGGTGCGTACAAAGACCGGCGCAGTACATATATAAATTTTTAGTAAAAGCTATTTTAAATAAGTATAGTGTTTAAGTCTAAAAAAAAAATGATTGCATCTATTGTTAGAAAATTAATATTTTAAATGTATCTTATTTAATCTAATTTAATACTTTCACAAGTTAATAATAATAACAGCCAGCAATACTCACCAGCATAGTTTGGCTACCGTGTAAAGAATTGATTGCCGCTAGCGCTTCTTGATGTGACGAAAGTTTCACAAATGCACAGCCTGAAATTAAAGCAGACATTTCGTTCATTAAAAACAATCTTCTGCACATTGCAAGAGCGAATCATAGAAATTCTAGATTAACGTACAACATCATCATATTTCTTTTTAGGGATGAAAGTTTACGCGGCACGACGGACATTCGAAGGAAGTGACAATCATTTTAACTTTATGATGAAACCGCGAAGAAATAATGAAGAGAGTTCCGTTTCCGCCACTGTCACACAGTGATGATGGAACGATTAATCGCCTCTACTATCTGCCACGTACGCTTATCGTTGTAGTTAGATGAAGACACGAAGACTAAGAACTCGACGGTGCTTTGAAAAATTGACGCGTCAGTGGAGCACAACGTGCACTTATCAAAATATGTTTACCACGAACGGAAAAACGCTCGGTAATCCGGGATACCATTTCTAGTTTAAAGCAATAACGATGGGTATCACGATGAGGAAAAAGATCCCGAAGAATTCCATTTATCCGCGTTTATTCGGAAGATAATTTACTTCATCCTGTTCCGGTGTTTGAAAACAATTGTTTCTTAAATGAATTACACACAACCCAAAAAAATGACATGTAATCTACAATAACTGCTAACGCCTAATTTGGATAGATTAATTTTCTTGGAAAAGCATGGTTTGCTCAATTTAGATTGCTTCATAGATTTTTTTAGTTTTTTGTTCTTCGTCTCATAATAAATTTTTACCGTTGCAAGTATGAATATAAATTATAAATATGCTCATGAATAAAGTTACACGTAACATAATAATGGAATTTGGTAGAACATAATAATCATAAGTCGATCATTTGACGGCAAATCGATCATTTTTTTCCACTTGACGTTACAGATCTTGTTCAAAATGTAATATAATCTAGTCCACGTGAAATTGGGCCAGTATTTAAGTCATCATTTTGCTGGTATAGCATTTATTTAAAAAATGAAGGCCTCTTAGATTGCAGTCCTCCCTCCAATTTCATGTGAACTACATTATATTTCATTATGAACAAAATCCCTGACATTGAGTGCAAAAAGTGATCGATTTAGCGTAGAATGTCACAAATTTAGTATTGTTCTTATCATGTAGGAAGAATACTGAAATGTCAGCGTGTTAAAGGTCAATTTATCAGAGTCTTTATTACATTTATCAGAGTTATCGAGATAATTGTTGAGTTCTTAAGATCAAACAGATGAATGAGTTCAGAGATATAAATGAGTCTCGATAACCGTATCCTAGCCGCATTAAGCTGGCACAGGATTGAAGAGAATTGGGGCGGAAAGAGGGCACTTATCTTCGTACCTGCTGCTGTATGACACGATAAGGTCCTGCCTGTCTCTGATTCAGCAGCCTGAACCTTTTGGAAATCTCTTTGCAGTTTTAGACTTTGATATGCCATCTTTTCGCTTGTAATCGTTATTCAAATGGTGCAAGACAGCGAGGAAGGCAATTTAGATTTATGGTGTTTCCGTGAAATTCGGAAAATATGCACCGCATTATTGCTTTGTACTAATGAGCCGTTTATTTTGAATGTGGTGTAAGTCCATTTTATATTGTGACGAGATATTTAGCGTAATACATTTAAACCGATTAAAAAATATTGTCAATTGCGAATAACGTGTGTCTATGTTTTAAGGAACTTAAATCTTATTTAAGTTACGGAAAAAAATGTTCTTATAAACCATAAATGGACTTATACCACTTTCCTAAATTGTTTTTGATTAAAAATGTAAAGACTTATAAGTTAATGCCGTAATGGCTATGCTGTGATGAAGTCCGAGGAATTTGTTATCTGATTTCATTCTTAATTTTTTACATTATGATTATCTACAATATAGGCCGTTTATTTCGATAGTACTATAAGTTGTGCTTCGATAAAATCATATACATAAATATAAACAAATTACAAATAACAAAACAAGAAGTAGACTTGTACTACTTTCATAATGATTGATATCGCAGCTCAATTTAAGATAGAAACATATATTGATCAAAATTTTCATTTCAGAGGAATATAACATTCTCGTGGATTTCTACTTTTTTAAATTAATCAGAAAAATATGTGGTATAATCATATGCAATCTCTGAAATAGTTACTAATCGCCAAGTCCGAGAATTATGTATAAGAAGTAAAAATATAAAACGTTACACTATTTATGTTGAGGTGTTAATTACTCTTAAATTGTGAAGGCAGTATGTTATTCAACGATATGACTTCTTCTATTCATTGTGCCTATTAAATTAAATCTTTCTTAAGTTGCAGCTATAAATAACATAAGTCACTCTTATTAAATTGAAGGGTAATGGTAAATTTCTGATTTTCTGTATTTTCTTATTTCGAATATATAATAACTAGAATCGAATGTGACACATAGTATTTGACAAACATTAACATTTCAAATGTTATTGTTTAAGTAACAATTATTTTAATTTCACTGAACAAGATACTTGTCCTGACTTGACCATAATTTATTAAAATTGCGAAAACGAAATGAAAAACTATTATCGCAAATTGATAAAATCGTTTGCATACGTTTCCATTCGAATTAGCAAATTTCAATTTCAATAAGCATAGAAACTATTTCAAGTGTTTCTACAGAACCGAACGTATTTTATGAAAGAATTTCTGAGAAGAATGTCAAAGAATGTCCAAACTTGGAGGAAAAGCGATCAGGGGTACCCTAGGTTCGTGGACAAGATTTTCTTGCGATTCAACTCCTGTCGCTCAGTGACATCGTAAGAATTTGTCCGAGCTTCCAAAGTGTTCTAGACCACCCCGCTGTTATTTCTTGTGCAAGTGAAAACTCTTGAAGGCGATGCGCTCCTGAGATTTTTCTCTGCCGCTTCGAAGCAGACGGGAGTAAGGCCGCGTGGAAATAAAAGACACGAATTTCTCGAAAGTTCGTGTACTTACATATATGTACCTGTATGTGTACGTAACTGTATATTTGTATACAGGATGGGGCAATAACTATGTCCTCTTTAAATATTGCCGTTATTTGTAATAATATGAAAAAATGTTATATACAAAACTTATACGGTACAGAGGGGGGCATATTGTGACACAAACAAAGTGAGTGAAGGCATAAAAGAGATTTCAAGGTCATCTCTATTATTTTTGAAGGAATACTATGTTCTTTTTATCGCTATGGGATAGCCGGTGTTGAGACGACTTCAGCGAGCTATCATTGAAGGTCATGCAAGGTCAAATGTGGTAGTAAAATAAACTTTCTTATATTACAGGAGATGCTCGAAATGGTAACCGTTTGCGTCAATGCAAAGTTGCAATCTTCGTATCGCTGCATGACGTGCATGTCTTATCGTTTCTGAACTTATTCTAGCACATGCTGCAATTATCCGTTGTCTCATATTTTCTGGTGTAGTGGGTACTAATGCATGTCTTATCGTTTTTGAACTTATTCTAGCACATGCTGCAATTATCCGTTGTCTCATATTTTCTGGTGTAGTGGGTACTTCTTAATAAACAGCATGTTTCAATGCTCCCCTGAGAAAAAAATCTAATGGGGTTAAATCTAGAGAACGAGGTGGCCAAGAAACTAATCCTCCACGTCCTATCCATTTATTTGGGTAAAATTCGTTTAGTGGATCTCTTACTCTCCGAGCATAATGTGCTGGACACCCGTCGGGCTGTACCCACATCATTTGGCGAATGATTAGTGGTACATTTTCTAATAAACTCCCCTATGAAATAATACAGCATGTGCTAAAATAAGTTCAGAAACAATAAGACATGCACGTGATTCAGCGATACGAAGATTGCAACTTTGCATTGACGCAAACGATCACCACTTCGAGCATCTCCTGTAATATAAGAAAGTTTATTTTACTACTGCATTTGACCTTGTATAACCTTCAATGATAGCTCGCTGAAGTCGTCTCAACACCGGCTATCACATCGCGATAAAAAAAACATAGCATTCCATTAAAAAAAATAGAGAAGATCTTCAAATCTCCTCTATGCCTTCACCCACGTAGAAAATGTTTGTGTCACAATATGCCCTCCTCTATACCGTGTAAGTTTTGTATATAACATTTTTTCATATTATTACAAAAAACGGCAATATTCAAACTGGACATAGTTATTGCCCCACCTTGTATGTATGTGTCTACCTCTCTACACGTACGTACTACACATATCTGCTGCCAATAAAGTATATTACATTTGTACAATAGTACATTTGTGAGTATATAGTGCATGTACATGCCTATGTAGATATGCGTGTATGTATGTATGAATGTCCATTCCACTATTCCAACGGCTCCTTCTTGCCGACTCGAAAATTATGTTTGGCCCCCTGAACAACGTCGAACAACAAACACTGGACAATCCGCTCGGCCCTCTGCCACCGACGATGTAGCTATATGTATAGTTCGATGGATCTCTCCCGTTCCCATTTCGTCTCGAACCCTCTGACGACATCGTCCCTCTCCCGTTTCAGTGTTCTCTCTTTCTTCCTCGTCTCTACGTTGCCGCAACCGGTTCGGACCAATCGATAACGCCTGCGAGACTTTCCACTCATATATTTGATTGCTCGGCAAACATGCCTAAGTATATTTTGTGGCTCCCACCCCACCACTCCCTCCGCCCAGAAGCATTAACGCGCGTTTCTAGCGCGGGTATATAGGCGAGCGAAAAGCTTTGCGATACGTTGGAAACTCTCCGAAAGGAACATAGTGCGTGCTTTCTCGATCATCCGGCTCAAAAATTATTTGATCGTATTACAACAATGTGAACTTACGGTTTTTAATATACTCAACGGGTAAAACTAGAAATATATCTATTCATTAACTTGGCTTGATATCTTGTTAGTTGATTTTATAAATTATACAATGGCAGAACGTAATACAAGGGATTCATATGTAACACACGAACTATAGTGAAACAGGCGTAATTGTTGTCTACAAATACCAACCAGAGACAATACTGGAGAATGACCAAACGAAACTATACTGGGACGTAACAATACACACTGACAGAACAATAGC